GTACGCGAGAAGCAGCGACCCCATCGACGCCACGGCGTCCATCTCGAACGGGAGTCGACTCGCCCCCAGGGTCGTAAACATCGACATGGCGCCGAGTAGAAACTCCCGCGTCGAGTCGATCTCGAGTGGTCGTTGCGCTCTTGCCGTGAACTCTGCGAGGACGACGCTGCGCGACAACGGCAGCACGCGTTCCGCCCCCGCGAGCTAGGTGCGGTATCGCTTGTGCCAAAAGATCAGCGCCTCTTCGCCGTGCGTGCACGCAGTCAGTTTGAGGCAGACGTTGATGGGCATACCGACCACATTACCCCAGACACACTGTGGTATCGAGCAGGCCGGGTGGGGATCGCAGCGGACGACGACATATGTCTTTGTTTCGTACACGCCCCATGCCAGGTGTCATGGATGCTGCTGCGCTTGACAGTGGCCAGTGCAACGTCGTAGCATCTCGTCGCAAGCAAAGCGTCCACAAGTGCCGCGTCTTTTACGGGAAGCTCCCCGAACGAGCGTCCCGATGGCTTGGTAATGTACCGAAACACGAGGGGTTGTCGGTGCAATGGCTCATTTGCAATGTCCAGCAGCGCGGCGACCGCCACCTCTTGGGCTTGTGGCGCGGTCCGAAACCCAGACTCGGGCTTTGTGCAGACCAAGTTGTAGACGAGCGCGACGCGTCGACCGATCATGATCCGTGTCGAGACCAGTTGTGTGCTCGAGTAAGTGGCCAAGCACTGCAGCGTCGCCTTGGCCACCGGCATTTCGTCCACCGTCTCACTGCGATGATCGCTCTGAAAGAATAGGCCACCGCCCACGTACGTCGACGGCAGCCAAATGATGAGCACGCCGAGCGTGTTTGGCACCTCTGCGCTCGGAGCGAGGGCCGTCGAATTGCCATTGGCGTCAAAGCAGAGGTGGGAGAGTGTTGCAGTCGCGTGCTCTTGGCCAAAGTCCTTGCGGACGCTGACGAGCACGTCATCGAGAAATGCGTTCCAGCCCACGTGGTTGTTGATGCGAAAAGCCGATGCGGGAATGACGTCGCTCGTGTAAAGCGACGCGATTTGCGTTTCCTGGCGTGTGGGCAGCGGCCAGGTAATGTACTCGGAGAGCCCGTTGATGCGCAGGAACGGGTCGGTGATGTAGCTCTGTGTGTACGTCGACACAAACGTGCGTTCCAACACGAGTTGGTCGATGGCTGCTTTGTACTTGGCTTTGATCGTGCGGGATTCCATGGCGAGTGCTCAAGTGACCTCAATTTGATGGTGGTTTGCTCGTCAAACCACTAAAATACCGACCAACGAAATCGATGAATTTGCTCTATTTTCGACCAAAAGCTCTTTCCAAAAGCCCACGGTGCCCCCACGCTGCCGACATGAGATAGGTCGGGTACGAGCCATTGTCATCCGAAAGCACTGACGTCTCCGTATATGCAGCGTAGCTCACACGTTGGAGCCATACAAACACTGGTGGACCTCCCAACGTCCTTCCCAAAACCGAGGGACTCTTCGGATCGGATCGAACTAGTTCTTTCGTATCGACACGACATTTTCATCTATTTCGTGTTCACGTTGCCTGACTCACGCTTGGAGAATGCCTGCGCTCCAGCAGACTCATTTGCATGCGCGGTATAAAGTTCTGGTGTCTGGGATCGCGAGCATTATCTTGACGTAGAATGGCACTGTTGTTTCCACGGTCTAATCCCGACAATATCGCTGTCCACTGACGCAATTTTTGTCCAAATCGTCGGCGAAAGCGTGCCATGGCCCTTACAAACCGCAACGAGTACTAACGTTAGCACAGGCCGAGTGTGGCTACACTTGCGTACTGCTGGTGCTTGGTCTCACCGTGCGACGTTGATGTGGGAGCCGCGCGTCTCGTCATTTGGGCTGACCAAACGGCGAGTTTGTCAGATCTCGTCCACGTCAACATCGTACCAAAACAAGCAGTTTGGTTGCTCGCATGGCAGCGACGGTCGCCGCTGCTCGCGCCAACAACTATTAATGTGGGTCCATGGGACCATGAGTGATTGATCTACTGACTAATCGACTAATCCCTTTGGAGTCGTGGTCCGGTCCCATGGGACCACGTTACTACAGGACGCCCGGTCACCCCTGGGTCCTAAAGGAATTTGGACGACCCCGCGGGTCAAAATGGGCCTCAGGTGGGGGGTCGGGGGCCTCCAAAGTAGAACCCGCTGGTTTCGGGCGACCCCCGGGGGTGACCGGCGTCCTGCTGGACTGCGTGTGTTCACTCATGTTGGAGGACAGTACAGAGTACAATGGAGATATCTAATATCTAAACGATGTTGAAAACGGCCTGTACTTCGTCGCCGCGGAAGGAGACGTAGTCGTTGTTGCTCTTGAGCACGTGCTGGAAGATGTCCACTCGACCCCACACGCGTGGATCATGGTGGACTTGGTGGCGCTGGCCGACGACTCGATGCGCCACTTGTTGTACAACTTGACGTGCACGGAGAGGAGTTGATACCGACCCTTGGCGGTTGTGACGATGGCGTTTCTCTTGAGCATGGCCGACGTCGTCGGAGTCTCCACCAGCTTGGGGGCCTTCTTGCACCATCTTCCTGCAAGCGAGTTGAATTTGGCCTCCATGTTTGCCGACCCTATATTGACGTCACAAAATGGCACGGAGCACATCGCTGACCGTTCTCCTTCGCGTGTAAATTACGCAAGCAGTTGGCCGTGGACTCGAAGAGTGCAAGAACCGAAGGCACTTGAAGGGCTACGTCGTGATTGTACCGAAAGCAAGCGTTATGGGAGAAGGGTACCAAAGACGACGCGCATCGAGGGTGACTCGCTGACCTTGGAAAGACTGGTCTCGTTGGTGTCGAAACCAATTTGGACGTCCGGGAGATCGCCAGCTTGAAATGCTGCTGCGGCGCCGAGCAGCTCGTCGATCGGCGTCTCGTTCCCGACCGCGACTTCGGCGATACCTGGATCAACGGAGGCTGCATTGTTGTCGATTTAATTGATTAGCGTGTTCACGTAAGAGATTTGCATACCTTTAGTTCGAATGCGCGGAGTAACGAACTCGCCGAAAGCGCCTCAGAGCGCGCGCCGAGCTGGCCTTTCACGCCGGCGGCCG